CGGCATTAAATAACAAATTGAAGTTGATATAACGTAAACCAAACCAAACCAAACTAAATACAACATACTTGACTGTGTCCAAGGTTTCTATTCTCGTGAGTAGGGAATGTCTTATTAGCGTAATATAGCGTATTACTATGCGTATCTTAAATATGGCACAAGGCCAACGTATGGTGCCCCCAGCGAGGATCGAACTCACTACACAAAAATACGGTGAATATTCTAAGCATTGTTTCAACGTGGCACAAGGTCGAAACTATTGGGCGATATCATTATTCAGTTATAATTGATCTAGCGAAACAAATTTGCTAACCATTACACCACGTCAAATTGATTAATAATTTTCTAAGCATAGCTTAGATGTGGCACAAGGCCAAAAATGTGGCGCACCCAGTAAGGATCGAATTCACTATTCAATCGTAATTAATTTAAAGCGACAAGCTCGCGAATCATTATACTGCGTAGAAGGACCATTTTATTCGTGCATTATATGAAAAATTCCTTGATAAATTCTCAGAAACAGCGAAAGCATTTGGACTCACTATCAAAATAAAGACTGAACTAATGTACCAGCCAGTAATAGGCAATCCATCTCTCATAAATCCTTTCGTATTTATTGATGGTACGGTATTAAAAATTGTTGAGGTGTTCACATATCTTGGATCAACAGTCTTTTCTGATGGAAAAATGGACAGAGAAATCCAATACAGAATATCCAAAGCCAGCAAAGCATTCGGTAAACTTAAACTTAGGTTATGAAACACCAAAGACGTGTCTCTCAGAGTAAAGATCGCCATAGACAGATCAGTCATTCTCTCAACCCTTCTCTATGGTGATGAAACTTGAACCCTGTACCACAAGCACATAAATCAACTTGATGCCTTTCACATGTGCTGTCTTTGTGCCATATGTGATAAAAAACGGGATGACAGGGTCAAAAATAATGCAATACTAAAGAAATGTAACATCATCACAGGCATTGAAAACCATTCTAGCAAAGATACAACTTAGGTGTGTTAGACATTTTCATGACGGTCGTCCTCGAGTATAGAATCCAGAGGTTGGCAGTGAATATTTCGGAGACAGTAGGAAAGCGTAGTGGAGGTTCGCAGTGGATATCACAGCAGAGTATAGTTCATCCTTCTCCTGGTCGACGTTGGTCCTTCCGGTAGACGAAACAAGATGGCTGCCTTTATACACGACGAATACAGTGTTGTGCGGCCTTCTGACTGGTCAACCTTCCATTGGTCGACTATAAAGGGAAATAAGTCATTCTGACTCGCTCACTAGTTATAAGTGTTAGATACCAAAAAAAACCGTAACAAGGTGGGCTGGTCATGTTGTGAGAATGGATGAGTATAGTCTTCTAAAGAAGGTGCTGTGTGGACAACTACCAAACTGCAAACGTTCAGATGGACGTCCACTCTTACGCTACAAAGACAAATTGAAAGACAATTTGAAACGTCTCAACTTTGATCTGAAAACCTGGGAAGCCCAAGCATCAAACTGAAAGGAGTGGTGTAAGACATGTTTCATTAAGTTAAATAGTTTTGAAGACAGTCGAATGAAGCACCATGATCAGCTTCGTCAAGCTCTGAAGCAGAGACGCCATCAATATTCTGCTTTAACAAATTTCATCTGTCAGTGTAGCTTTGTCACCTGAAGCAAGATGACGAAGCTAGTATCAAAAGCTGGGCTAGTATCACACTTAAGAAAGCACAAATTAAATATGTTTTTCCCTTACCCGATTTTCTCCACAATAGCGCCTGCTAGCATGCATAAGTGTAAAACGAAATCCACTGCTGACCCTTATTTATCGTTCACGATAGGAGAATCCACCATATGAAAAATGGAAATAGTCGTCAGTAACTGATTTAGTGCTGCAATAAGTTTATCTTAATAGAACAAATCTAAAAAGGCCAGAAGTCCCTACCGCCACGTTCCACGACAATGGGCGCATAGCATGCATGGGTATTATAAACATTATAAAAGTTTTGGCAATTTCGTACAACAACTACTGCTGTTTTCGCAAAGGATAATTCGTAATTTAGCGAGGAAGATTGACAAACTCAATAGCCACAAAATGTCCAACCTCTTTTATAAGACATATCTGAATGAAGACTTCTTGCCTTAACACATTTAAATCACAACGTTCTGCAGATCTTAATCATATCACAACTCTAGAATTTCGAAAAAGTCTTACAGGAAAAAAAGTTTAATCTTTCGTTTTTATTCTCTGTAAACCCTTGCGTCTTAGTGACATTATCGCCTTTCTTGTGGTGAAATGACTTTTTTTTTTAAATTAGATCTATTTTAACCCAAGATTTAATCTCTTATATGTGTGTGTGTGTGTGTGTGTGTGTGTGTGTCTGATTATTCTTTTGTTTTCAAAGACCGGAAAGAACGCAAAGATACCGAAAAAATAACGAATACAACTAAGCGAAAAAGAAAGAATAAAAGAAATATGATATAGTTTTCTTTTTCGTCATAACAAGAGACTCTTTAAAAAGCGGGAAAATGTCATACAGATAAAAACAGGTTTAAAAGGGAAACAGTAAGAAAATCATCAATAATAACATGGTATCGCTCTAGAAGGCAGTGAGGCTTAAATTATGAGATCTATCTTCACATGGACATAATGCGCATGCGTGCATATATTCGTCAGCCAAAATATTCTAACCTACATCATACGATGTTAACTGACCAGATAGCAATGTAGAGTTTCTACCATATCAGGTATGAATTAAACAAAGCATGTAAAGTTTGAAATGATGGCCAAAATTATTCGTTATGTTAATGAGGTGAGATTGAACGTTTCCATGCAGGAAACATTCAACATTCCTTAACCGAATATTCTCTTGAAACATTTTTTCTCGAGTCCGGTAGCTGTTATCTCTCTTTCCAGTACCGTTGCGGACTTCTTTGCTATTATTATTATTTTTATTTTTTTATTTATTTTTTTATTTATTTTTTTTTGGTTAAGGTAATGTAGAAAGCAAGCATCTTTATTTCATAATTATTTTCTCTTCTATTTGCATGTGGTATCTATTTTAGTTGTAATTGCTATTGGAGATGCTCACTTGATGTGGTTTCTGCTTTTAGGCAAATTTCTTTGCGATTCTGTAGCGCCAGAACACTAGATCTGATTCATTGGTTTGAAAGCCTTTTTTTATTAAATAACTGCATATAGCCTGTAATGCAGACATTTCTGAACGTGTTGATGCTATACGTGACATCCATCTGAGAGACTCGAGTTGACGAGACTATTTAAAAACATGACACAGGTTCGCAGGTTATTCATTTTGTTTCGTAGCTCCTTGCGTTGTTTTAAAAAATACTTGTTGCGAACACCTGTTCAATTTTCTTACTGCCTATATTAAATATGTTTTGGTAACTAATGCTACAAACATGGCGTGCCTCTTCAGTTCCTGCGTCAGATTTGAAAGTAGAATGTTAATTCTTTCGATACTATTATGGGTATTTTTTGTTCTCATTAGATCCATAATAATTCTAAAGCAGGTATATATATATACATATTAAATAAACTGTCTCGACTGCTCTTCACAATACATTGAGTAAACTTGAAGAAATTTAAGAAAACACGTATCTATGAATACAAAAAGGATCTTATACACAAGAATTTATCAAATGCATTATACACAGAAATAAATTTAACCATAACTTTGATCTAAAGAATGATACACTTATAAAAAGAGAAAGTAACTTGCTTAGATGGAAAATTCTCGAGAATGTCATAACCGAATCTTATCAAAACATAAATCTGCATCCTGATTTTTTTTTTTCAAATATCTCCATTCCTGAAAGAATTACTCCCTTCCGAAACCAACATCCATACTAAAAAGATGTCAACAAATTAAAAGAAACGGTTAAATTCATAAACTCTTCCCGATTCCTCTGCACTGTCCAGGGATTGTCATCCAAACACTCTGAAATATTCGTATTGGAGCTTCCGGCGCGAATGCCAAGCAGTACAGCATGTCGTTTCCAAATTTCTGGCAGAGTGAATTGCATCATGGTACTCTTTTTCTCACAGACGGTGCCCAACTGACCCTACTATACTGTGCAGTCGACGAAAACAAAAACAAACAATGCACATGCGTGAAATTAAAATATCTAAAATGGCGATCATTTACCCTTCGCACCATATATATATATATATATATATATATATATATATATATATAAACCATTTGATTAAAAAGAACAATAAATATAAAAATTAAGATATAGTAAAATAAAACCAGCCGTTACACATGACGTCACGCTAGACCATTTCTAACGTCCAGCTTCCCAAACAATACAAAGATGCAGACAAAGGAATTCTGACGACCACACAGGCACCAAATCGGTTTTTGATGATGACTGGAAAGTCGAAAGTACTTGAACAAAAATAACAAAATCTGAACTTTGGACAGTTTATCCACAACTTGGAACACATTATCCGAAAATTGAAAAATACAATAAAAAAATAAATTAACATATATTGTCGGTATTTTTAATTAAACATGTTTGGATGAATACTTTACTTGCTGCCTAAATATACCTAATATTATATATATATATATATATATATATATATATATATATATATATATATATATATATTTTATAAATATAATCAAAACATACATTTTCAAACACAAACTTACTCACACATAGACCACACGTGTTCAAAATGACTCCAGCCACACACTGTCACACACATACATCTAAAACCATCACCGACATTGAGTTTTATGTTAAACACACACAGAATTATACGTCAGGTTATTGACTTATTAAACAAACGCTAGAAACCGTCCTCTGCTTTTAATATTCGACCACTTAAATCCCCCCTCGGAGGCCTGAAATCCATTGTGAAAGACATTCTCAATTCGCACCATTATAATTTTCTATTGGCGGGAATCCTTGGCTGATCCCTAAGTCTCTCGAAATGGCCACTTGACTCGCCGGCTTAATACTGTGCCTCACAGCTCCTAATGCCCGACACCCCTAACCCATTTACGTCTTGCCTAAACCTTTTTCCCCCTTTCCCACTACCTTCATTTTACGCACTCGAACCCAGCCGACCAAAACCCGAAATTCCACTTGTCTAGGGTCGTCAACCACCTTTCCTAACTGGGGATTCTTGTTGCCCTTGTTATTTTAGTTTTGTTTTGTTTTTGTTTCTTTTATTCTTTCTTATTTTTCTTTGGAGAAATCACCTATCTTTCTTTCCCCTCTTCCTTTCATTTTTGTCTCTCCGTTTTACCTTAACTTCTTTCTTTCTTTCTTTCTTTCTTTTTTCTTTCTTTCTTTGAATAAAGCTCATATCTTTCCTTTGTCTCTTACTTTTTTACCTCATTTTCTTTCTTTCTCTTTCTTTCTTTCTTTCTTTCTTTTTTCTTTCTTTCTTTCTTTCTTTCTTTCTTTGAATAAAGCTCCTGTCTTCCTTTCGCTTCTACCGTTTACTTTTGTCTCTCCTTTTTAACTTATCTTTTTTCTCTTTCTTTCTTTCTTGCTTTCTTTCTTTCTTTCTTTCTTTCTTTCGATAAAGCTCATATCTTCCCTTTGCCTCTTCCTTTTACTTTTGCTTCTCCTTTTTTTTTACCTCATCTTCTATCTCTTTCTTTCTTTCTTTCTTTCTTTCTTTCGATAAAGCTCGTATCTTCCCTTTGCCTCTTCCTTTTACTTTTGCCTCTCCTTTTTTTTTACCTCATCTTCTATCTCTTTCTTTCTTTCTTGCTTTCTTTCTTTCTTTCTTTCTTTCGATAAAGCTCATATCTTCCCTTTGCCTCTTCCTTTTACTTTTGCTTCTCCTTTTTTTTACCTCATCTTCTATCTCTTTCTTTCTTTCTTTCTTTCTTTCTTTCTTTCTTTCTTTCGATAAAGCTCATATCTTCCCTTTGCCTCTTCCTTTTACTTTTGCTTCTCCTTTTTTTTTACCTCATCTTCTATCTCTTTCTTTCTTTCTTTCTTTCTTTCTTTCTTTCGATAAAGCTCATATCTTCCCTTTGCCTCTTCCTTTTACTTTTGCCTCTCCTTTTTTTTTACCTCATCTTCTATCTCTTTCTTTCTTGCTTGCTTTCTTCTTTCTTTCTTTCTTTCGATAAAGCTCATATCTTCCCTTTGCCTCTTCCTTTTACTTTTGCCTCTCCTTTTTTTTTACCTCATCTTCTATCTCTTTCTTTCTTTCTTGCTTTCTTTTTCTTTCTTTCTTTCTTTCGATAAAGCTCATATCTTTCCTTTTGCCTCTTCTTTTTATCTTTTTGCCTCTCCTTTTTTTTTACCTCATCTTCTATCTCTTTCTTTCTTTCTTTTGCTTTGCCTCTTTCTTTCTTTTTTTCTTTCTTTCTTTCTTTCTTTCTTTCTTTCTTTCCATAAAGCTCATATCTTCCCTTTGCCTCTTCCTTTTTACTTTTTGCCTTTTTTTTTTTTTACCTCATCTTCTATCTCTTTCTTTCTTTCTTTCTTTCTTTCGATAAAGCTCATATCTTCCCTTTGCCTCTTCCTTTTACTTTTGCCTCTCCTTTTTTTTTACCTCATCTTCTATCTCTTTCTTTCTTTCTTTCTTTCTTTCGATAAAGCTCATATCTTCCCTTTGCCTCTTCCTTTTACTTTTGCCTCTTTTTTTTTTACCTCATCTTCTATCTCTTTCTTTCTTTCTTTCTTTCTTTCTTTCGATAAAGCTCATATCTTCCCTTTGCCTCTTCCTTTTACTTTTGCCTCTCCTTTTTTTTACCTCATCTTCTATCTCTTTCTTTCTTTCTTGCTTTTTCTTTCTTTCTTTCTTTCTTTCGATAAAGCTCATATCTTCCCTTTGCCTCTTCCTTTTACTTTTGCTTCTCCTTTTTTTTACCTCATCTTCTATCTCTTTCTTTCTTTCTTTCTTTCTTTCGATAAAGCTCATATCTTCCCTTTGCCTCTTCCTTTTACTTTTGCTTCTCCTTTTTTTTACCTCATCTTCTATCTCTTTTTTCTTTCTTTCTTTCTTTCTTTCTTTCGATAAAGCTCATATCTTCCCTTTGCCTCTTCCTTTTACTTTTGCCTCCCTTTTTTTTTTACCTCATCTTCTATCTCTTTCTTTCTTTTCTTTCTTTCTTTCTTTCTTTCTTTCTTTCGATAAAGCTCGTATCTTCCCTTTGCCTCTTCCTTTTATTTTTGCTTCTCCTTTTTTTTTTTACCTTTTACCTCATCTTCTATCTCTTTCTTTCTTTCTTTCTTTCTTTCGATAAAGCTCATATCTTCCCTTTGCCTCTTCCTTTTACTTTTTGCCTCTCCTTTTTTTCTTTCATCTTCTATCTCTTTCTTTTCTTTTTTCTTTCTTTACTTTTTTCTTTCTTTCTTTCGATAAAAGCTCATATCTTCCTTTTGCCTCTTCCTTTTACTTCTTTTGCCTCTCTTTTTTTTACCTCATCTTCTATCTCTTTCTTTCTTTCTTTCTTTCTTTCGATAAAGCTCGTATCTTCCCTTTGCCTCTTCCTTTTACTTTTTGCTTCTCCTTTTTTTACCTCATCTTCTATCTCTTTCTTTCTTTCTTTCTTTCTTTCTTTCTTTCTTTCCATATAAAGCTCATATCTTCCCTTTGCCTCTTCCTTTTTACTTCCTTTTGCCTCTTTTTTTTTTTTACCTCATCTTCTATCTCTTTCTTTCTTTCTTTCTTTCTTTCTTTCTTTCGATAAAGCTCATATCTTCCCTTTGCCTCTTCCTTTTACTTTTGCCTCTCCTTTTTTTTCCTCATCCTCTTTCTCTTTCTGTTTTCCTCTTCTTTGTTTAAATATCCTCCTTTCTTGACTTTTCTTTCTTTCGTTTTTTCTTGCTTTCTTTCTTCTATTGTTATTATTTCTTCTTTGCATTGGATGTGCGGGTGGTGTAATAGATAATGGCCCAGAATTGAAAACCGGAGAATCGAGTTCCAATTCCCGTTGGCTTCGTTATATTCACTTATACGCAAATACTCTTGGGAATGGTATGAATCCAACTCTTTTCCCTCCTGCTATGGGTTAATTAGTAAGACTTCCATCACTAAAACATTACCCCCCCACCACAAAAAATATAATCTAAAAACATTTTCTGGCTTTAAATAACCTGCCAAGTGTTCATAAACCGTAGATAACAAATCAATTTTCTTATTCTAAACCTCCTTCTCCTATTTTGCTTTCTTCTTCTTCTTCTTCTTTGCTTTCTTCTTCTTCTTCTTCTTCTTCTTACATTTTTGCCAAAACCTTCTTTTTTTTTGACGTCTCTTATGCCTTCCATTTCAACTTCTTTTCTTTGTTCCTCTTTGACTTTCTCTCTCCTTCCTTTTCTCTTCTTCCTTTTTCTCCTTTGCCTTCTCTTTCGCCTCCTTCTACTTTGTCTAAACCTACCTCTCCTCCTCCTCCTATTTTACTTTTTCACTTCTACTTTGGCTTTCTTTTTTAAAGTTCTTCTTTTCTTGCCTTCTCTTTCGTCTTCTTCTTCTTCCTCTTCTTCTTCTTCTTCTTCTCCTCCTCCTCTTCCTCATCCTTCTTCTTCTTTCTTATCTATTTTCTTCTCCTCCTCCTCCTCCTCTTCTTCTTCTTTGTCACCCCTTATTTTTTCTTATTTATTTTCTTCTTCTTCTTCTTCTTCTTCTTCTTCTTCTTCTTCTTCTTCTTCTTTATCACCCCTTCTTTTTCTTATCTATTTTCTTCTCCTCCTCACCCTTCTTCTTTAATTCTACTTCTTCTTCTTTATCACCCCTTCTTTTTTCTTATTTATTTTCTTCTTCTTCTTCTTCTTCTTCTTCTTCTTCTTCTTCTCCTTCATTACCCCTTCATTTTTCTTATCTATTTTTCTCCTTCTCCCCCCCTTCTCCTCCTCCTTCTTCTTATTTATCACCCCTTCTTTTTTCTTATTTATTTTCTTCTCTTCCTCCCCCTCCTTCTTATTTATCACTTCTTCTTTTATCTTATTTATTTTTCCTTCTTTTTCTTCACATTCTTTTTCTTCACTTTCTCTTTCTTTTCCCTGTTTCGCCCCTCTCCATCATTGCCATTTCTTTCTCCTTCTATGCTAGCTCCTTCTTCAGAACTTCTTCGCTTTCTTTTCGAAACCTCCTTCATCCTTGCCTTTATCCACCCTTCACGTCTTTAACTCTTTCTTCTTTTTCCATTCTTTCTTTCATTCGTTCTGGTACCACGCAAGGGGTGCCCTAAGCTGAAACCAAACTCATTTCACTCACAGTTATTTGAGAAACCAAGAAACCTCTTTTTAGAAATGAGACCATAATAATTGATTTGATATCAATACTCATCACTGACATTGTTCTTATTATTAATTTCACATTAATTTCACTAGAGATCAAGTGACAGCAAGCCTCTTCAGTATTCTAGCAGTTTTCGAGAATTCTTTGAACTGGTTGTTCGAAATTTTTCACTAATTTCCTATTTCTCCAGTATTTTTCTTAGATTCTTTTGCGACCGTGCCCAGTACCCCCTGATAACGACTGACACGACTGCATCTCTCATTCTCCTCAATTCTATCACTTCTCCAGCAAGATTAATACATATATATATATATATATATATATATATATATATATATATATATATATATATATATCAATTTTTCAGTTTCATTCATATCTATTCCATAGCCTGCATGGACTGCGAAAACCACTATTTGTCATGTTTTCTTGTTGATGGCTAAAGGATCCAGTCTTCTGACCTAGTTTCAATATCAAGTCCCAAAGTATTTTATGTATTTTATTCTTTCGAAAATATTCTGGAATAGGCCTATACCATTGATATGTGTGGTCAAAATGTAATCCCTGAAAGAATTCCCAGTGGATCACCGTTCCTACCCAGTTGTGTCTATTTTTGTATTTGTGGGTGATATTTCATTTTCCTTTCTATATGATCTGTATTTACTTTTGTCTTGTATTTTATGTAACTTGAGTGTTTGATTGTTTTGGCACCTTTATTAAAAGTCATATAAATTTCGCTCTTAAGGTTGCCCTTGCGTAACCGTTTCTATGTAAGTTTATGTTACCCCTTCGACGTGTCTTCTGAAGTGTCAATACTATTTTTATTATTACTATTTTTGACTTCTCGTTTCTATCTTTACTTTGGTTAATTGGCCTTTTATCATCCCTGAGGTATTATAATTGTACTCGTTTCCCCTTTCCTTTGTTAGACCATGTCATTACCTCTGATAAATAATGAGCCATTCCTGTTTGATTGCGAGCGTAAACGGAAGAAAAAATAATATATCAGAGGCGCTGTTTAGTTTTAAGGAAAGGATTGGAAAAGAAAGAAAGAAAGAAAGAAAGAAAAGAAAAGGGTTGATAGAGGAAGCGATAACTCATTTGTTTAACGTCTGCTTAAGTAAAAAGGAAAATCTTGTAAATTTTGAAACTCTGTGTCCTCTTCTTTACATCATGAATTATATTCATACTTATGATTCTTATTTCAATATTTTGTTAAAGTTGTTAAGCAGAAATATTTAACAATTCGATAAGAGAATTTCCACGGGTACTCTATAGCCGTGGAACTCGCAAGGAGCTTATTCAATCCTTAACTTAAGAATTAAGATTCATCAGAAAATTCAAATAGGAAAACCGTGAAATTGTCACGGGTGTTCCTAATTATTATTATTATTATTATTATTATTATTATTATTATTATTATTATTTCTTTTGATTTCTGTTGTATACACATTACCTTCCGGGTCCCAATCAGAGACCCAAGGTCAGAAATGGCTTTTTGTCATCTTACACTGATCATTTTTGTAAAATAAAATCAGATCACACACATTTTACATAGGGTAAAGGTGTAAGGGGGTGAGCTGTACCCAAGCGAGATCAATTGTTTTGTATTTCCTTGAGGCATGAGCCACCATGACGAACCTTTTCCAATCAATCCGAGTGCTTCAACTACAACTGGAATTATTGATGTCCTCATGTGCCACATTTTTTGGATATGCATTTCAAGATTCTTGTATTTTGATAGCTTTTGAAGATCTTCAAAGCTACATTACAATCTGCAGGGTCTACCATGTCAATAAAAAAGGACATTTTGCCCTTGTGGCCTTTGATCACGATGTCTGGGCGATTAGCTTTGATTGTTCTGTCTGTATGTATTGTAAAGTA